CCCCCCCCCCCCCCCCTTTGTGTCGATTTGCTCACTCGAGCATGACATTGCTTTCCTGAAAACAACCAATCACAGTAATGCTTCTAAATTTCAAAAACATGACCTTGGACTTGTTAAGATATTTATGTCGCTAAATTTAATTAGATATTTTCTGAAGGGAATGGATTGTTGTACTTGAGTGAGCAGCCGTTTATGTGGAGAAACCTCCACACAAAGAGTGGCTGCGAAGGAGACTACAATGTAGCCAGCAGTTTACAGCAATATAGCCAGCAGCTTGCTGCCGGATGTAATAGTCACTTCAAAATATAGATGTTTACTGAATTATTGTGCATGAATTTTTTTCATAGCAACGATGCAATTCCTATGTGCAGATACATGTATGCCTAACATACCTATTTTTACAAGGTGTGGCCATTAGCTAAGCTTTTTGAGTCTTTTTAGGTTTGTCGCAAACATTGAGTAAAGTGCTAAGCTGATATCTTTCTTCACACTAAATTTCAACATGGTGGCATAATTAAACCTTCATCAAGTTGTTCTGCTTTTCATTTTATTAATGTGACGTTGTCGTTGCCACAGGAGGGCTGCATGCAGAACGACTGCATGCAGAACAACGTGGAGCAAAACATGGATTCAGAAACGTCAGGGACACATGTTTATGCAACCCTGCTTCTGGAACTACAAGGTGATGACCCAGAGGCGTTTAGGCAATACCATCGCTTGGATGTAAATTCATTTAATGACGTATTGAGGATGGTTGGGCCATTTATTTGCAAGAAGGAGACAGTAATGAGAGCAAGTATTTGTCCCGAAGAGAGACTTGCAGTTACCTTACTTTTCTAGCTACTGGTATGTTGTGACGTATAATGCATTAAAGGATAACCAAAAATCAAGTTCCTGATTTCATAAAACTAATAGCAAAATTAAACTCTAGGCAATCATTTAGAAGCCTATCATTCCAGTACAGAATGGGTGAGAGGAGAGGACAGTATCGGATATCATTAACGAGACATGTCATGCGATTTTTGTAGCAATGAAGGAACAATTTCTTAAAGTAGGTATACATTTTGTATGCTATATTCATATAATCATAAACACAACAGTGTATAAAGTAATACAAAGTTTATTTTAACTTAAAGTCCAACTATGTAACCATCTTAAAGTAGGTATACATTTTATATGCTAGATACAGCTCATAAACACAACAGTGTATCAAGTGATACAAAGTTCACTTTAACTTAAAGTCCAATTATGTAAATGGAACCCAACAAAGCCACCCCCTTAAGTCAAACTCCTTGATTATTCACAAACTGAAAATAGGGCTGTTGCTGTTGTGGAGTGTGTGGTTGCTGCACGGGGTACTGTTCTTGCTGATGTGCAGTCAGGTTGGATTGGCCTGGTGTTAACATACCCATTTGTGCCTGGAACAGAACATTATTTATCTGGTACTGTACAAGATGCCTTGTTGCTTCATCAAATTTCTTTAGTGACTCAATTAAGAATTGTCCATATGATTCATATTCTCCAACTTAACTTTTTTCTTTTTTTTTCTCTCTTTGGCAATTGAGGAAACAAGACCCTTAATAACATTAAATTCCTCTTCTTGTATCTTCTTCTTTAGGGACTTGGGCCTAGGTTTTATTGGCATTTTGGTTGAGTGCACTGCAGGTGTTGTATTTGTTTCATTTGGGTGATCGAAATCATCATCAGAATTATTTCCACCAAGTAGCATGGGATCATCTTCATCATCATTATTCTCGGTCACACCTACTACAGTAGAATTCATCTATAAAGTATATGATTTAGTAAAAGTTAAAGGTTAAAGCTTATCATGCTGTTTATTTCAGGTACCATCATCTGAGAATGATTGGCTAAAAGGTTCAGATGAGTTTTACACAAAATGGAACTATCCATGCTGTGGATGGAACTATACATATAGCAATACAACAACCAGCAGACACTGATTCTGAGTTTTTTAAATTACAAACACTTCTTTAGTGTTTTACTCTTGTTGATGCTAACTATAAGTTTTTATATGTGGATGTTGGGGCAACTGGGCGGGCTGGGGATGCTGGTGTGTTTCTCGATTCATCTTTGAAGAAAGCTTTATATACGAAGACCCTTCGATTGGAAGCCCCACAAAATATTGAAGGAATTACTACAAAAATATGCTATCACATTGTTGGTGATGATGCATTTCCATTACGAAAAGATATCATGAAACCTTATCCACACCGAAGTTTGGACAAACCTAAGAAAATCTTCAACTACACGCTGTCAAGAGCAAGGCGTGTTGGAGAAAATGCATTTGGCATTTTAGCCAACAGATTTAGAGTGTTTCTAACAACAATTAAGCTTCACCCGGACAAAGTAGTTGACATTATTCTTGCTGCATGTTGCCTACATAATTTTCTGGTTGAACAAAACAAGAACAACTATATCAGTGTTCAAGACGTTGAAGATGTTGAGCATTTGAACTTCATGAATGGCCAGTGGAGAGGTGATCCCCAACTGTGTGGGTTGCAAACAAGCTCATCGAGAAATTTGACAACCAATGCGAAAAACCAGCGCACAGAGTTGGCAAATCATTTTTTATCTGCCTCTGGTTCCGTACCGTGGCAGGAATATTTTAATTTTGGGATTCATTCATTGGTATGAAATAGGTAATTGGACAAGTACTGGTGTAAGACATTGTGTAGCCTAAATAATGAGGACCAGCAGTTCAAACGGTTATCCTTTATTTATTTACTCCGACTCCTGTGATGGTGAACATGTACACAAAAAACAAGGGAAACTACAATTAGATAGTAACTGAATATGTGAATTTTATGTGACACGATGATGGCGAGCGAGGATATATAAGAGCGAGAGATTGAATTGGAATAGGAAAGGCAACCCTGTATGCGTTTCAACCTAACAGTCTTCTTCAGCAGGGTTTTTTTAAGGGGGGTGTAGATAGAGTTTGCAGAGTGAAACTAGAATGCAGGAGAGTTTAGGAGCACTGAACATATGTGAAACCAATTATTATGAAACAAATTATTTCGAAGTTATAATGAATTACACAATACAAAAATGAAGGTTGAAAGAAAGTGACTACCAAAGGTCTTGTTGTTGCGGGACATTCCAACATTACGTACTTTATTGTTCATCTTTTAACTATATTTTTGGAGCGAAGCAATTTGCTAGTCCTTTAGGGTAAAGCTGACTCAACGGTATAGTGAGTTTGAATGCTTATGATGGAAGGAGTAGGATTTATTCAGTATCATATCATGTGACTGTAGGTGATTGCATCCAAATATGGTGCCAGTGGCTTGATTGACAGTGATAGGGGCATGAGGCAATTATTGAATTGTGAGGAAAATTATTGATAACAACGTGCAGGATTTGATATTATATAAAAAAATTTTATGATTAAACAAAAATATGATTAAACAATAACTGAATTATGTACAAAATATACAACAAAACCCAAAACAAAGATGGTAAATGAATAATACGATATGGCCATTGTTAGTTCACAACAGTTCTGGCGTTGATCTTTCCACGCAGAGGATAAGAGTTAATATCTGTATATTGTTATTTTAGTATATAGAACATTAAGAAAGCTTTTTGGACTAAAACAAGTAACAAAGATAATGTATGAACCACATTGGGATAAAAATATCATGGAATGTCATGCGCTGACAATTACTGAAAAAACCTCGTAAAATGCGCTAATCAGCATGCAATACTTTGTTTGAACAAGTATAAAGGACCCAGAACTGGGTAAAGGAATTATTAAAACTTTTGCTATTGACTGTCTAAACATATATTAGGTATGTCCAAGGACATCAGACTATATCTTTATTGTCAACTGTAGGCGTATGGTGAGGTAGACCAACTTGCATGAT